AAAATAAAATAAAATAAAATAAAATAAAATAAAATAAAATAAAATAAATTGAAAGGAGCTGAACATGGTGGTACATACCTTTCTATCCCAGTACCTAGCAGGCTAATGCAGGAGGTCTGCCACATTCAAGGCCCATCTGCACTACATAGCGAATTCAAGGCCAGCTTGAGATACAGAGGAGACAGTGTCCCAACACTCCTCCCACCCACTGGGGGAATAAATGAAGGAGAAAATATGTTCGAAAAGTGAAAAGTCAAATGCAAAACGAAAAACCAAGCGATATATAATCTGTTCTGGATATGATGAACACTGACCCATTGGCAATTAGTGTGAGCTACTCTTGTCACAGGAAATCCTAACAGTAATTTTTTTTTCTTACTACTACAGATTGACCTGAGGGCCTTCCCACTGAGCTACATCGCCAGGCCTTTATATATTTTTGAGACAAAGTCTCATTAAATTACTAAGTGGCCCAGGATGGGTTCAAATTTGTGATCCTTCCACCTCAGCCTCCCAGAGTGTTGGCATTATAGACATGTGCCACCATGCCAGGTTCTAATAGTAATTTTAAACTTTTTTTAAAGCAAAGTGAAGACATTTGTCTGACACTTTCATGATATAAAACAAGGTTTGGATATGTTCACATACAGTTAAACATTTATAACCAATCATATGTCAACCTAGCTTTCATGATTAGGACAAAGGGATGCCTGCTCTTTAACAACAATTTTGCACACTACAAGTCAAAATCAAGTCATTATCTTAATTTTGTGAGAGGAAAGTACCTGTCATTGTTAACTACATCAATGTTTTGCAATAGTTATGTATTTTATTTTCAGACTTAACTACTATACAGATTATTATTTTTTTTTATTTTCAATATTATCATGTTTTATTACTACTATGAATGTGATGAGTAAGGATTAAAAACAATATAAACATTGTTATTTTACTCTTTAGCCTCTACATTCTTCTATATCTTTTCTTTTATTTTTTTTTCAAAGTTTTATTGACAAACAGATAGCAATGAGACAGTTTCAAATCATATCGGAAGGACAGTTTCAACAAATAATACACTGCATATATTCTTCTTAGTGGTTAATTGCTGTACAAGATGCGGACTTGTGATCCTATTTACAAACACCATTAGAACAAATCATTCTATTCATTAAGAGAATGCAACTATATATCTATCCCAACCTCTTTGAATACACAGATACAAAATGGACATTCATCGGTATACCCCATTTTTTCTAAGTTCCGTTATTTATACAGATTATTATACACATATATGACAACTTGGAATTTTCCTTGAAAAGTCTGAGTGAAAAAGTCTGTCCTTTACAAAGGTTTTCAAGCTTTGAAACGCAGGTTCAGTAAAAATTTAAGAACTCTGAAATATATTTTTGACAACTCAGTAAAGAAACCCAAAATAAATGAAATATAAAACTGTAAATAGTTGATAAAATTCAAATATTTTAAAGTGTACTTAACAGGTGTCATGAAATAAGAAGGAAATGTTCAAAAGAGGAGAGGACAAAGAAAAGAAGGGAAAAGTAAAAAAAAAAAAAAAAGGAAGAAAAGAAAACTGGAAACAAAGCTTTTGTAAATGAGGAAAAAAGGGTTGAAGGGAGGGCAGGAGAATGGGAAAAAAAGAATGAAGTTACTCATGTACTGGTACAAGTTCTCTAGGATAAATACGATCATTATATATACCTAAAATGTACAATAATATACGAAGAAAAAGTTTAAATGTTTTAATTGCAGTTTGGACATTGTGGAACGTTTCAATGAAATAAGTGACACATTACAGACTTTAGATATGCATAGAGTAGATTTGTTAATTCATTTTAAAAATTATTAAAGCACTGAGATAAAATTGAGATAACAAGGTAATGAACTATGAAACAAAAATAATAAGATCAAGAGAAATTTTCTTTTTTTTTTTTCTGCTCCGAATGCCTTCAGGGCAGGTTTGGCTGGCTTGAGTTGTGGGGATCGAACCACAGCAACCTGAGCCTGACTGCTTTGTTGAAGCAGCCACCTAAAGAACTGAGCTAAGGGGCAGGCCGCCTGAGAACTTTTCTTGACAGTAAGAAGCAAACAATAACAAAAAACTTTTATAACAAAAATAATAATTCACAAAGAAAAAAATCATTTCAGCATATGCACATATAAAAACACCATGCTATACAACTTACATATATATATAATTTCATCAATTATATTTATAAAGCTGAAAAAGATGGAGAGTTAATTTGCAAATATAGTAGTAGACATCACTTAACAGAAATAAATTACATAAACTCACTGAAGGATACTGAAATTTCATTTGATCTCAAAATAACATTGATAGTGATGACATGTTAATACATAACACGATTATAATGAATACATTTGATGAGAGTGCTTTCAATTAAAATAGATTACTAATTTTATAAAAAAACTCCAAATGTCCAAATATAAAATATTAGGAAGTTTTCTGAAATTTGATAAACCTCTGAAAACATATATATTACCAATAATGAACTATGAAGATGAAAAACATTTTTCTGAATCATCACTAATAAAACAAAGTGACCAACCACACAAGCAAAAAGATGGAATTCTCTCATTCTTTCTTGAGAAGATGAAATTCTCTCATTCTCTTAGGGGAAGAAGCATATAGAGCTGCAACAGGCAGGCATCAAAAATGTTATTTTAAAAATTTGTGTTACTTAGGATAGTTTTCCACTTTCAAAAATCTACATTTTGAGCCTGTTGTGGTGGCGCACACCTGTAATCCCAACACTCAAGAACCTGAGCCCAGAGGATCCCCACAAATTCAAGAACAGCCTGGGTGACACAGAGAGCTCAAGGCCAACCTACACCGCAAAGTGAGGCCCTGCCTCAAAACAACAACAAATCTATCATTGTTTTTTTAAAACTCTAAATATATACTTATTTTTGCATCTGCTTTTGTATTTGATTGCTACTCTTTTTCTTCTACAGCCTTCACTCATCAAATTATACATAAGCATCAGGCTTCACAAAATCTGGCCTGGCCCCTGTTCATTCTCTCTCTCTGCCTAACTGGTTCACTCTTCACCCTTCTTGTCTTCTAATCTATTCTCCAAGCCAGAGGCTACAGGACCTTCTAAAACTTTATGTATAATTATATTTTTCCCTTAGTCTTCCAGTGATTTCCAGTTAGCCTAGATATAAAAGCAAACTCCTCCAATTCTCCATGGTGAATGTGATCATTATACACACCTAAAAACTGTACCAATAAAATCTGATTGGAAACACATACACACATACATACATACATACAAGCAAAAACCTTAACATGGGATCTAAGCCTGTCTACCTCTCTTCTCCATGTGCTCTCCACACTGGTGTCTTCTGATTCTTGGAATGTACCACCACAAGAACTTAGTATATGCTGTACCTAGTGCCTAGAAGCCAACCAGCCACCCTATTACTCCATTGATAAATTATCTCCTCCTGAGCTTTCAAAATTTCCCCCAAAAGTCAATTCTAGAGCACTTTAGTTTGTCAGCTCCCAAATGCTTCTAGTACCCTTTTTTCTTCACAGCATGACTATTTGTAATCAAATACTTCTGTGACTGCTTAATCACACAACTCTGCTAATGGACTACAAATTCCACGAAAGGTAGACCAGCCTACACGTGGCACAAAATTATACAATTTCGGGTCTCAAAGAGTGAACAATCTAAATACATGCACATAAAAACTAAAATGATTTAACAGTTGTACATTTTTTGGGGACATCAATACACCTGGATCAGATTCTTTTTTGTAAGAAGGTCTTGGGCAATTCTTGAACCTGACATGAATTAGCTACTCCACCAGCTAAACCTAGTACTCTCCCAGCATAATTCCTTTTTTTTTTGCCTCTGACAAACTGTGTGTGTGTGTGTGTGTGTGTGTGTGTAGGGTCTCACCACGCAGCTCAAACTCATGGTGCGTCTCCTATTTTCAGCCTCCCCAGCCCTGGGATTACAGGCGCACACCACTGTGCCCGGAGGCGGGGCTGGTGCAGCATGGGGTACCCAGGATCGAATCCTGCTAAACAGCAAACTTCTTCTTTTTTTAAACAACAACAAAAAGGGATGGGGACATAGCTTGGCGGTCTAAACACCTGCCTGGCAAGCGCAAGCACCCAGGTTCGATCCCCAATATCGCATGGCCTGCCTGTCCTGGAACCCCGCATACCCTGGAACCCTAGCGCGGGGGAAGCCGAGACAGGAGAACCACTGAGAGTTCCAAGCCAGCCTGGGCTATACACAGTGAGTTCAAAGCCAGTTTAACAGAGAGTCTGTCTCAAAAAACTCGAAAACCTAATTTTAAAAAAAGTAACAAAAATGATGCCGTACCAGCAGCAGAGAGCTTGCCTATAGGTAGCGTGCAGGAAGGCCTAGATTCCATCCCCCCACAGAAAATAAAATTAAAAATCCCAGGTTTATTTTTGTTACATAGTGAATGACATGGTTACATATAAGAGGTTTCTAAGTGCTTTCACAACTATTTTCATCTTATAGAACATTGCTTTCTCGGTTTTAAAAGACTTTTCTTGTCTCCATGGAATTTTTTTAAAAAAATACATGTTTTTACTAGCAAGGAGGCACTGTTGAATTAGGCTAGGGATTTAATTAACTTGACAATTTACTTCACCAGGTATATTTGTTTTTATAGACTTTAACAGGGAAGCAAGAGTAGTCTACTTACCACAGAAATTTCTGGAGCTCGTGCTCTCACTGAATTTTTTTTTTTTTTTTTTTTTTTTGGTTACTTAACGATGTGGAGTGGCCATGCTTGAAGGATTTGTTTGTTCCAGTTCGCATCTTCCAACATCTTCTAGGCTTCCGAAAATTCACCAAGGTATACTGTACTACAATAAAGCCGTCAGGATACCTGCACCAAAAGTGCTTGAAACCAAGATGTCAGCCGCGGAACATCATCAGGCTTCGGAGTTCGAGCTGAACTCCAGTCCGGCTCATGAAGCAACCCCTGACACAAAAGCAGACACCAAGCTCTACCTCATCCGGGGTTAAAACTGAAACAGACCACACGTCGGGGCCCTGAACAACTGCTGTTACCTCGAGAATGAACCTGGGAAAGCCCAGGCTTCCCCGCCGGGTGATCTCATCTACAGAACGGGACAATCTTCTTATTTACTTCACTGATTAGCGTCCGCGGATTCCTCTTGCTTTTCATCTTCTGTCTCCTCCATTTAAACTCTCCAGCCAGCGCTCAGAAACAGGTCCTACCGGCCCGCCACCCGCGGACTTGGCCCCCTTCCCACCGCAGCCCGCGCTCCCCACGTGTCTCGCCTCCCGCTCGGCCCGCCCAGGCCCCGCCCACGGGCCGCCCACGGGCGTCACGTGACGGCGCGGCGTGCCCCGCCCCCTGCCTCGGGCTCACGTGATCGCGCCTCGGGAGCGAGAGCCTGACCCCAGCGCCCGGCCTTCTAGGCGCCGCCTTTTCTCACGCTGAGGCTGGTCGGGCTCTGGCCCTCTGATCACCTGCGGGCCCGGCAGCCTGTCCCTCTGCGGGCTACCCCGGAGCGCTGTCAGCCATGCGGCTTGTCCCTGTAGCCCCGGGTGGGCCCCGCTGGGGCAGTGACCGCCGCCTGCCCGCCTGCAGCCCGGCGCCGCTGCTGCTCCTGCTGCTGAGCGGCTGCCTGGGGGAGCCGAGGCTGGCGGCCGCCTCTCGGAGGCCCAATGTGGTGCTCGTGCTCACCGACGACCAGGACGAAGCGCTCGGCGGCATGGTAACCCTTCTCTGCCCGCCCCGCCCCTCCGCTTCCCCGGCCGCCTTGCGGGCTGCTGCTGGCCGCGTTTCCCGTCCCCGCGCGCGGCCGCTCCCCCGGGGGGTTCGCCTGCGCCTGCCGCTCGGGCCCTGCGTGCGGGTCTCAGGGCCCAGGACCCACTTTCGTTTTCTGGGGTGATTCATCTGTAGGTGCTGCCCTTTGCAGCTGAGTCTGGACCTTACGGCTTGCAACATTTTAGTTCACATCTTAAAATAAGTGAGCGTCAGTTAAACTGTTGAACCTGCGGGGAGCAGGTTCTGAACGGAGTACGCAAGTCTTGATTGCCTTTCTTTGGGGTTAGAGGATCAGAGGCCAAATTTAGCCCCTTTTATAAAGGACCTAGGCCACCTCTGCATTCGTGGCTGTGTATAATGCCTGTGCCTGGTATCAATATAATAAATGCTAAAATGAACTAATCTGGTAAGTAAGCTGTCGAACAGTAGGGTTTTTTTTGCCTTACAAAAATCAAAATTCAATTAGCTTAATTGAATTCTTGGCTGAAGTATTAGATATTGTCAGCGGTCCTTGGGAGTTGTCATGTGACTTCATTCTTTTCCAAGAGTTCATTTTGCTTTAAAGTTATGGGATTTACGGCTTTTGGAGCGTTTGCCCTCCAACTCCCTAGAGGAAGCTGGAAAGAGGTTTCCCTAGCGAAAAGAGGCAGTGACCTGTTGCAGCACGACAAAAGCCTGAATGGTCTAATCCTGAATCCAGCCTGTTCCTCATCTTTCAAAGACAGTGCTTTAGTTCCTTTTTTTTTTTTTCTTCAGTGGAATGCTGAAACTATGAAAACTCTAGGCAAGAGGTTCCTGTGTTTTTTTTTTTTTTTTCTGTGTGGTAATGCCATAGCTCAGCGTCTCAAACTGTTGGACCCGATTATGTGAAATCAGTTTTGTGAGTGACTACCAATATTTTGGCTTTTCTTGGGGGTAGAATAAAAATCGTGTGTGTGTGTGTGTGTGTGTGTGTGTGAGAGAGAGAGAGAGAATGAGAATGAGGATACACATATTCATAGCATGCTGAAGAGTGTTTAGTGCAGCAAGCTTTGAGCTCAAGGGTGATCCTCCTGCCTCAGCCTTCTGAGTGCTGAAATTACAGGCATGGCGCCACCACATGCAGCTAAGATAGTTTTTCATAACTGATGTTTACTACTTCCCTTTTTACCTCCATATTCATTCCTTTCACGTATGCCTCATGACCTTTTAGTTTTGCCCAACCATGTTGATATCAAGAGTTTTGACTTCTTCCTTCCTGGATTTACTCTGGTTTGCTAGCTACACTTACCTTCCTGCTCACAAAACTCCTGTTATTCTTCTTTATTGTCCTTGTAGAGTGTTTTGTCCAAGAAAAAAAAAAATCCATTTCTGTCATTGACTAAAGTACTTAAAAGATCAAGCAGTCATATCTCTGTTCAAAGCAAAATTCCTTATGTTAATAAGATATTTTCTTCAGTTCTGTTGACAATAGCAGTTGTGTATTTATTTGAGGTTTCTTTTTAGTATGTTAATCTTAAAAAAAAAAAAAAAAAAAGACATTTGTAGTGAAGAGGGGAGCCAAAATTGAGTGGTGGGGGGAAAAATATGAAACTTAGTGCTCTCAACTCTTAAAATTCTGGGGCTGGAGATCTAGCTCAGCAGAACGCTTGCCTAGCAAGCTGGAAGCCCTGGGTTTAGTTCTCAGCAGCGAAAACAAAAAATAAACTTCGCCTAAAAACAATTTTTAAAAATACAAGAAAAGACAAAGGAAATTCTGACTTGATTTTTCAGAAGTCTATTTGAAGTATTTACTATTACTATTATGTAAAATTATTAGTTTCCTATTATTACTATGTCAGAATGGTCTGTCAGACACCACTCCAGAGAGGAGACACAGGACAGGAACAGTGTTCAAGAACCTACTTTGGAACCAGCAGAGTATGAGGTGTTTTATAGCCAGTCCTCACAGGAGTTCTGTCCTGAGGATACTGTCCCTATCCTGAATAGGAAACTAAGTTTTGAAGTGGTTAGGAAATTTGGCCAAAGTTCATGTAGCTAGGAAGGTATTTTTATCATTCCACGAACCCCAGGTTCATTCTTCTGTTCTAAAATACTATAATAAAAGTCTGACTTAGTGGATGTTATGTCACATTCTCCCACCAGTATAATCACTTATTCAGGGCTGCCAGTGGGGTCACCAAACTTTAATTTACATGTAAGACTGTGTATCATCTCTTCATTAGTGTGGAGAGAATTCTCTGCACTAAAAGATTACAAATTGCTGAGATAGTTGGCAAAGTCTGCAGTAGTCAACACCCAGACTAAGGCCAATGAACTATAGTCCTCATATGTTTTTTTTTTTTATTTGTTTGTTTGTTTATTTTGTGTGTGTGTGTGTGTGTGGCCAGCTCAGCCCACCAGGGGGCGGGGCTGGCTGGCATGTGGTGCTGGGGGATTGAACCGCGGTCCCTGTGCTTTGCTAAGCTTGTTCTAAGTAGGTGCTTTAGACCACTGAGCCATCTCACCAGCCCCCTCATATGGTTTTGGTTTAAGGTGAAATTTTTTAGTTCTCTTTCATACAGTCTTTTATGTAGTCACATCGTCTCTAATACTTCACTGTATTCTGCTGTTATTTTTTGTTTCAGGTATCATGTGTTGTACTCTGCTGTTATTTTTCCCACGGAGTTTCCTTTTTTTTTTTTGTTATGCAGTGGACACACTGTTCTTCACAGACACATAACTTCCCCTTTTCAAAATCATTCATTTGAGGAAGAAATTACATTTCTTCTTCAAATTACATTTGGTCAAGACCTCAAAAGATGCAAAGGGAGAGGCTGCAATGATATATCAGAGAATAAATATGTCCTTAAAGAAAAATTACTCCCATCATTGAAAGCCTTAGAATTATGACAGTTATCAAAACCCTGAGTAGCTGTACAGGGGACCAGGAAAATAAATGACCCAGTAGGGTTTTATGGAAGGAATTTTGCTTGGGATCATGAAGTTCTCTCTTGCAAGACTGTAAGGTTGGCCACTGCTTAATGACCGTGGTCTTGTCCAGCCACTGTCTGTTCAGGTTAGCGTGGAGTCCTACGTTTTCAGCAGTGTACTTTCTTGCTGGGCCTTGTGTAATGAAGCGCAGATTGTGGTTATCGCTTGTACGCTACTAGCAATGAACAGAAACTTCTTTCTTAGATGACATAATTCTTCCACAGTCTTCCATCATCATTTGGCTCTGTCCCACCTGTCTGACATTGCCTTGACCTATTTTCTTTTCTTTTCAGACTTCCTCTACCATGCGGGCTTTGTCTCTGCTTCTCTTGGCGGCAGCCTCTGTGCTCCTTGTACTCAGCCTGGGCACATCCTCTTCCATATCTTAGCACGGCTGACTCTTCATCTGGGCAGCAAATATCTCTGTGAAAGAGAGCTTTCTTGCCCACCCATTTAAAATAGTTTTCTTCCCACTGGCGCAGCCACTTCATCTTGGATTATTTTCTTAGCACTTCTTACTACCTGAAATGTTTTTAACCTGTTGTTTACATATTGGTCAGTGTGATGATTAAATCTCAACTCAGTCGGCTAACAGAGGCCTTTTCCCAGCTTACATGTCTCATTTTCTCTCCCAAAGTCTAGTAGTAACTTGTAGTTAAAGACTCACGCCAGTCTTTAACCCACTATTCTTTTCCTTTTTTTTTTTTTTTTTTGGCGGAACCAGGGATTGAACTCAGGCCCTTGCGCTTGCCAGGGAAGCGCTTATTCCACTAAGCCATCTCCCCAGCCCCTGTTCTTTTCCTAAGAATCACATCTAGTGATGTTTTGAGGAAACCTAAAGACAACATTGCCTCTTTTTTTTGGTACCAGGACCTGAACTCAAGTCCTTGAATTTGCAGGTGCTTATGCCTGTGAGCTATCTTTCTAGAATCCTGTAGAAGATCTACTTGTGGAATTATCAAAGTTTGGCTTGATTAAGTTAGAATTGTCATCCTTTCTAGTTTATAAGTTCTGTAGGTTTTCTGCTAATATAAAGGAATGGGAGAGTAATTTTGTATGTTGTTGAAAATGAGGCTCTTATTAATTTAGTAATTTATTTGGATTGTCAGTCTTTAAGGAATTACACAAAGTATATTTAAACTATGCTGAATATGGAAGTAGATTTCAAAGGTATTTAAGATCATAACCTGTCGAGTCTCAAGACAATGAAATAAGCCTCTATATCAGCAGTTTCTACTGTCTGGAATGTGAATAAAGATTGCTAGTGTTCCTATTATTTGTATTTAAATACTTTTGTCCTCTCAGATGAACTTAAGTTCTTTGTATTTGTCAGAATTTTATGCATTGAACAAACATTGAAAAGCAAGAATATAAATAAAGTAATTTCTGATAGGCCTCCATCCTGTGAGGATTCCGGAGTGCAGCTTCCTGTCCCAACTCAGGTGCTTACCCTGAGGTGGTGAATGGTCTGATGCAGGGCGCAGAGAGCTGGTAGTTGAGGGTGTGTGTCTGGGCTCCACCACTGAGTATGGCATTGAAGGCAGTCTTTGAGGCTCAAAGCCTCGTCTGGCTTTCAGAATCTTAAGTGTGGTCTAACTTCTTTCTTAGGGTGTGAGCTTCTGCTTCTGCTGCTTTTTCCTTTTCCTTTTTTCTTCGGTTGTGGAAATTGAATTTAGGACCTTTTGCTTGCTGGGCAGCTGCTGTGCTACTAAGTTATATTCCCAGTTCTGAACTCCTGCTTCCAAAGGTGAATCCCTGGAGACAGATCTGCCATGTCTACTTTGAAAGGGAACTGGTAACACATAAAGAAAGGGCAGGGCCGGGGAGATAGCTCAGTAGAATAAGCACTTACCTGGCAAGTGCAAGGTCCTGAGTTCAATCCTGATACCGCAAAAAA